CACTGAGCCAACCACCACCAGCTTTGGGGGCTTTCCAGGATATTTTCCTGATATTTTCCTGATATTTTGAAGCTGATATTAAGTAAGGGAGAACAAGATTCCAGTCTTTTTGGAAAACATGGTGGATGTTTTTCCTAGCAGGGTGTAGGATTCCCCAACCATTCGCTGCTCTTGGTGGTTTTTTTTGTGCAGAAAAGATCAGGAAAAGCAGGTGTGGTCTCAGAAATTGTGAAATATTGGCCTTTAACCTCAGTGCTGGGAGAGATGATCTTGCCACAGGTTAGAAATTGGGGATTTCCACGTTCTGAGAGACAGAGGAGAGAGTTACCAACTGGTGGTGGTGCCATTTGCTGGGATTTGCTCAGAAATTTGGAGTATTAACAATGCTGCTGGATTAAAGGGTGTAATAAATTCCTTATCTGAGCCTGATTTAGATGAGTTTGATCTTATTTTACCTTTGTCTCCTTTCAACACCGAGCATAGGGAGGAGGCGGAAGGGACCAGGCCACCTCTCCAGGGGGGTTTCACATGTTCATCCCTTTTTGCTTTGCTTGTATTGGTGAGTGTTTAATATCTTGTCACCTGCTGAAGTTCCTGAAGAGATTCAGCTGTTTATTTTGAGGTTGTTTATCTGGAATGGTAGATAAACATCTAAATAATTGATCTAAAATAGCAGATAAAAGTGGGGATCGATAACATGCCAAAGAAAAATAGGAGGTGTGGGGGCTGCTCAGAGGAAGATTTGTAGGGAAGGGTGGAGGTGAAGGGGAGGATAAAGAACAGGAAAACATGAGGTTATTCCAGGAACACCTTTTGCTGTGAGGCTCTTCATCCAAGAGGAACAGTGGGACAAAAGGGGATTATTTCAAGTGATACCTGACAGATTATTGACAGCATTATGTGATGTGCTTGTGGAATGATCCAAGAAAATTTGAAGGGTGAGAGAGCTCTGTGAGAATCATCCGTGTCCACTTGGGATGATGCTCCTGATCAACCCCTGGCACTTGGCAGGGGTGGAGTGAACAGGCCCTTGTGGGAGGATTTCATGGCCTGACCCCAAATGCTGTGTGTGACCTTTGTCCTGCAGCTCCTCGTTAGTGTTGAGGACCTGGGGGGGTTCTGCCATCATCTCACTAATGATGAGGTGATTTATTGATCCCTTTGGCTCCCCAGGGGCTGAATCAGCCATTGGGATGTTTAGGGTGGAGTTCAGGGCACCTGGATGGGCAGGGGCTGGAGCAGTTCCCTGGGAGGGACCTAAAGGACTGAGGGGGGCTTTGGGGGCACCCCATGGCACCCACCAGCCTGAGGAGGAGGGAGGCCACTGAGGAAGGGGATTTGGGCTCTTTGGAGTGGTTTGTGGTGGGAGGAGAGATGCAAAACAACAAGTGTTTGGAGCAGAGAGAAAGGAAAGATGCTCCCAGTGAGGACCCTGGATCAGCAGGACACGTTCCTCCTGGAACTGGGCTTCCAAGACCAGCCTGGATAAGACTCTGCACCCTCCAGAGGCCCTTCAACCCAAATTATCCTGTAATATCCATAGGTACAGATAATCCACAGAATTATTCCATGGCCTATGGATTCGAACCCAAAAACCATGGCAGAGAAAATATGTATTAGATCTACAGTTCCTGGGTGAAACTGCTCTGAATTTGCTAACAAGTAAATTTTATGTGATGTCTTAGGCTATTTTATAATACCTAAATTTGGATATTTTGAAGACATTGCACATTTTCCAGCTCCCCTGATTAATGGTTGCTTTGATATGGGGACTATTTTTAGGAACATGAATATATTCCAGACTAAAATCATGATTTCCAGCAAGTGCTGGTGAATATTTTTAGTTTAGTTTACTGGCAAAGGCAGCAGAACCTCCAAGTTAACACCACCTCAGTTACCTACCATGGGTTTAAGTAATTCCAGTCCTGGCTAAACTTATGGAATCCCAGAATGGTTTGGGTTGGATGGGACCTTAAAGATCATCCAGTTCCACTCCACCTGCTGTGAAAGTTGCTTAATTGAATTCTTGGCTTGTTGTTACAGGTCCCTCATGACCATGATTCAAATGGAGCTGGAATTTCTTCCCCTGGCAATCCTGAAACATTTGGATTAACCTGAGTGTTATGTTTGCTGGTTTAATGTATGATTTTAAATGCTTATCAACTGGTATTTTACAGCAAAAAATCTTGACTGTAGTGGGGAAACACCATTCCAGAGCTTTTTTGATTGGAAAAAAAGGAAAACTCCAGAATAAAATAAAACTTTCCTAATGAACCAAAAAAAAATAACTGTGGGGCACTGGGAATGGTGTGAAAGGCAAATGTGGACTTTGGTGTGTGGAGTAAACAGTAAAATGGGGTAAAACATTATTACTGATGGTGATTTCAGATTACTAAAACTTTGTGGTGTTCTTTTGTCTGAGTTTGGGAATATTGGATGTGCATAAAGCTGCTCTTGGCTGTCATTTGTGGTGATTTTGGGGTTCAGATTTTCTGCAGATGTTAAAGGTGAGGCAGAGCTGTAGCCACAGGTCTGGTTATGCAGAGAGAACATCTGGAATAGGGGATGGATGAGACTCTTATTTGTGTAATATAATAGAAACAATACAATTGTACAGTATATAGAATTGTTTGATATATTATAATCTGTAGCTTAACTAAAAGATCAGGTTCTGCCCTGGCTTCACTGGTGGCTCATTGATCCCCAGCAGCCTCGGGCTGGGAAGGGTTTTCATTGAAAGTGACAGGTGCCCCAAGGTTTATTTAGGACAAGCTCAGCCTTGTCCTGGTTAGTTTGATAATGTTTTCCTTATGGATGTTCAACCAGTGCATTTCCTGTGTTAGGGCCTTGTGTTACACCAATATTCCTGTCTGTGCTGCCTCAACTACAAATTGGATGAACAGCCAGTGACACTTTTTCAATATTATTACATTAAACCAAGTGGATTTTGATTGATAACCTAATATTCAACTAATGCAAAACATCAATCATGGCAAGTATATTAATTATTTAATATTGCAGTCTAATTCAGAAATCGATGTGCTGCAGGAGGGGAAGGGAAACTCGCTGTTCCCACAAGACTTGAGACAGGGAATGATTAAAAAAGAACCCCCCTCCCCAAACCCTGCTGTACTTGTGTGTGTTGGTTCGATACAAATCTTTATTCATTTGCCAATAATCTCGTCGCATTTTCCACTTCAGGACCTTTTTTATCAGTTTTGAGCCCTCTAATTGAATGAAGGGCTGTTCTCAGCACAGGGCAGGGGGAGCTGCACAAATATTGATGGTGGGGATGGTGCAGGATGGGCCTGGGAGCTCCTCCTGCCACGTCCTGCATCCTGCTCCCAAATAATGCAGCCCTTAAAGGCCTTTAGCTCCTGAAAAATAGATCAGAGAATCCTGGAATGGTTTGGGTTGGAAGGGACCTTAAAGCCCATCCAGTCCCACCCCTGCCATGGGCAGGGACACCTTCCACTAGCCCAGGTTGCTCCAAACCTCGTCCAACCTGACCTTGGACACTTCCAGGGATGGGGCAGCCACAGCTTCTCTGGGAATTCCATCCCAGCCCCTCACCACCCACACAGGGAGGAATTTCTCCCCAGTATCCCATCCAAATCTTCCCTTCTTCATCTTAAATCCATTCCCTTGTCTTGTCCCTCCATCCCTTGTCCAAAGTCCCGCTCTTGGAGCCCCTTTAGGCTCTGGAAGGTGCTCTAAGGTCTCCCTGGAGCCTTCTCTCCTCCAGGCTGAAGATGTGGGAGACAATTTCTGTTTAAATATTGTATGGCTGAGATCAATAAATTCTTCTTTCAGCATTCGAAGTGACAGTGTAAGGGAAGTGCATCTTTTTCTGTCGCTTCATTAATGACCTTTAAACAGGAAAAAAAACCCTGCCCAGCACATTTTTGGAAAGCTCTATGGAATTATAAATAAAACCTTGCTGTAAAAAGTCTAAAATACAGCACAGCAAGGTGGTAAATGTGTAATTGCAGGTAGCCTTGTTCAAAATATCCTCCATTTGGCCATTTTTGGGTGTAAATTCACGTTGTGCCTCTCGCAACCTTTTGAAGGGAGCAGAGCCTGGGGCTGGCACCCTTTGCTGTCTTGGGAGAACCCAGCTGGGCTTTTGCTCCTCTGCTTTGACAGAGTTGAAAAATTACTGGAAAAATTGATATTCTAAATTCCTCCTGCACTAAATAGTTCAGTAACTGGTTCCCTGAAATCCTCGTGGGTGGTTTCTCCTTGTTTGCCACGGGAACAACCCCCTTCCCCAGGAGGGGATGGTTTTGGAAGTGGGTAGAACCTGGAGTCAGTGGAAATGGAAACCAGCCCTTGTTCAGTGGTTTGAGATTTGGAGACTTTGAATTTGTTTACATCTTTTTTTTTTTTTTATAGCAGGCTGTGTTAAGGATTAATTTTCCCTCTGAATTCTTGCTTTTCAGTGTTTTTCCTTTGATAGTTGGGTCCATTCTTTTTTTTTGCAGCTGCCTTTATGCAACGTTCCTGCTCATTTTCTACCTGTACATTTGGATTTTTTCCAGCTGTCAGGAATCAAATGCAAAGTTGCAGCGTGGCTGCCACGACCCCAGAGCTAATATACAATTCATTCACTCCATCACCTTGTAAATGGGCACAGAATTTTATTATTCAAGCAGTGGCAAAGCAGGACCAGGAGCCACCAAATGTGGATTTGATAAATAGCCCCGTGCCCTGTCCTGGTGGATTATTTCCAGTAGAAACAGTGGGATAATTGCATTAAAAATGTTCATTTTAAATGCTTGTCCTGCTGCAGTTTGTAGCAATTTAAAGGCAGGTAATGTTTGAGGGTTTAAATAATTAAGATAATCAATATTTTTTGGTATTACAAGTAAATATATTTATTAAAAGTAAAAATTTTATATACTCAAGTAATTACACGGCTTTGCCATTTCCCAGTTAAACATAAATCGTTGCAGACAAGGGTTTAGCAACTATTTAGAACTTTTGTTCTTCTGTTACAGGGACTCTGGAAACATCAAAGCTGGATTAGAACATCTGGTAAGTTTTAATTTTCTCTTGAACATTTGCATCATCTTTGATATCTGCATTCCAAATGAACACTTTTGAATGAGCTTTGAATACCTTGAATTGAGAAAGTCAACCATTTCCCAGAGGGTCAGCCTACTGTTATTATGTGAAGGCACTCACATTTCCATTTATCTCCCCATTTCAAGGGAATTTTAATTTTTTTTAAATTACTTTTTTTTTGATGTCGAGATGAAATAAACGGGCCTACAATCCTCGGATTGATGATTGCCTTCATTATAAACAAAACTTGTTTGGTGTTGGATTTTTGGCATATCCTGATCTGAAAACAACAAACTTGTGATTAAAAAAAAAAATAAAAAAAAAAAAGGAGAGAGAGAGAGAGAGAGAGAGCCAGAGACACAATCAAATATTCCATGCATAAATATGGTGTGTTTTAGTCATTTGGAGGCTTTGAAAGAAGTGCACAGCTTTGTGTTTTCTCTTGTCTTTGCTTTATGAATAATGGATCGGCTTAAATTCCATTCAGTGCCGCGGCAGAAAATAATAATTGAGGTGCAAAATATTTTTGGGTTAAGTAAACATATTAAACCAAGTGGTGGCAAGCCAGACTTAGCATTAAAAACCCATCAGTTGATCAAAACTGGAGGAAATACAATATTGTCACAAGTCAGAAGCTGGTTGAGCCTCGGATGGTTGTACCAGCAATCCCTGGAACATTAAATAGTTCATCTAAACAGGTTCTTAAATCCCATTAAATTAAAATATTCACTATTAACGACACGTCTGGCTCAGTCCATCGTGAGGAGTGTTTAAATTGCTGTTTGATTTTTATCATGGGATGTCTAAACAATCCATACTGTCCCATCCTGCCACGAAAATCAAACCTCGATGCCTCTGGCACACGAGCATTGGGGAAAAAAAATCTCTTGTTGCTTCCCATTTTGGGAATCACTCTGGGAAATATGGTTTGTGGGAGCCTGGGTACCAATATCTCCCTGCAGTGCCATGGCATGCGAAGGATGGATCTCCTGGCACAGTTGTCAGCAGTTCCCCTCTGCAATGGTGGCCCATGAAATGTTCTCCTGCTGCTGGAGTTGGAATCTGCAAATGGAACAAAGAGCCAGGTTTTTAGAGCAGTTGGAAAATTCATCTTGTTTGCTGCTTCCAGGGGTATTTCACATGCAACTTGAATCTCTTAAATATGTTTTGGAGGTGTTTCATTGCTCTGCTGGTGTCAGGGAGCTGTGATCCGATGGGTTCCCGGGATTTTTCTCAGGAATTCTGTGCCTTGACAGACGACCATGGCTGGGACTTGTTCTCGGCTGGGATTTCTGTGACAGCCTGAGCTGCAGGGCTGATTTATGACAGCACCTCACACCTGGAGGTGGGAAGGAAGAGGCTCTGGGGGTTTGGAGTGGCCTGGGGAGGGGGGGATCAGGAATAGAGGTCACTGGTGTGCAGGGTTTCCCAGGGATTGGGGCAAAGTGTGCTGGAAATCTCCTCTGCAGAGTGGTGGTACCTGAGCTGCTTCACGGGGTGACTCCCTCTGTGTTTGACTAAAATTGTGTCTGCATTAAGTTTAATTTAAGGGACCTTAAAGATCACCCAGTGCCACCCCTGCCATGGGCAGAGACACCTTCCCATAGCCCTGGTTGCTCCAATCTGGCCTTGGACAATTCCAGGGATCCAGGGGCAGCCACAGCTTCTCTGGGCAACCTGTGCCAGGGCCTCCCCACCCTCCCAGCCAGGAATTCCTTCCCAGTATTCCACCTGTATCTCCCCTCCTTCAGCTTAAAGCCATTCCCTGTGTCCTGTCCCTCCATCCCTTGTCCCCAGTCCCTCTCCAGCTCTCCTGGAGCCCCTTCAGGCCCTGCAAGGGGCTCTCAGCTCTCCCTGGAGCCTTCTCTCCTCCAGGTGAACATTCCCAGCTCTCCCAACCTGGCTCCAGAGCAGAGGGGCTCCAGCCTTGGGAGCATCTCTGTGGCCTCCTCTGGACTCCTTCCAATGTCTTCTTTCATTGGAGCAACCAGAAAAAAACCCCACAAACCCCAAAGAACCAAAACCCCCAAACGAAACAAGCCACTCCTTTATTAAGTGTTCACATTTAACGTTACTTCTTTATTGTTAATTTTAGTATTTATTTAAGTAACATAAATGTTACTTCTTTGTTGTTAATATTTATTTACCAGCTTTCACTATTTTTTTTCTTGGAGTTTGATGTCAGTGTCACCTCTCCCTGATTGTCACTGTCTCAGTTTCTGGTGGTCACAGCTTGGTGGTCCCTGACCGGCCCCTGGACAGGGATGTCTGAGAGAGTTGTTGGCTTTCTAATGAGCTGTAAAACCAAGCAGCCAATTATTTGTGCTCACAAACAATTAATTAACGCTCTTAATAGGAATAATTATGTTTGTCTTGCTATGCTGGCAAAATTCCATGCTGGTCAATTATATTCTGCAGGCTGGAATTGTCTCTTGCTGTAGCAGAGTCAGGGTGAAGGGAGGGTTGGGATTTTCCCTGTTGAAAGTGTATTATTTGAAAACAAACTATTTCACTATGTATTTTTTTTAAAATGAAAGACATTCTTTCTCGCATATCCCAATCACTAAACCTGAAAAAAATTCCCTAAGGAAAACCACTGTGGTGTTCCTGGGAATTACAATTTTCACGCCCTTTGGTTTCTGACCAAGTTCCCCTCCTGGGTGAGATCCCTGTGGAGGCACCTCTAGTCCAGAAGAGAAGGAAGCCTTAGAGAAGAACAGGAATGTGGTGCTGGGGTACAATTATGGCAGTTTAACATGGAATTTGGGTTTTCTCCATTAGAAAACAGGGTATTCTGTGAAGTCTCCCCCTCTGGCACAGGAAGAGCCACATGGGCAGAGTGGATGTGGGTGGATATGAATGGATTGTCTGAACTTCATAACCTGCTTTTCTTCTCATTTGGGCAATGGGATCAAAACATCCCAAATCCCAGACTGCTTGGGGTTGGAAGGGACCTTAAAGCTCATCCAGTGCCATGGACAGGGACACCTTCCATAGACCAAGTTGTTCCAAGCCCTGTCCAACCTGGCCTTGATATCCCTGTGATGGGACCAGAATCTTTATCCTGGAGCTGCTTCAGGAAGGAGTTGTGCAGGAAGTCTCTAAGAATGGGAAATTATCCTGAAAGTAAAATGTACAAGTGAAATCCTTTTCTGTATGAGGCTAGAGGAAGGGAAATGGTGCTGGGATGTGCTGGTGGTGTCAGAACCGTTGGAGATCATGGTCTGTAGCTTGTGGTGCCATAAAAAATGCTGATCATTTATTTCCTTCCTCATTCCGGTCATCCACATCTCATTTCTTACATGTGCCCAGAGTTAAGGCCTTTTACACGTGAGATGCTTTGCTTATATGAACTCTTCAGTCACTGCTGCTTGTTCAGGTGAATTTTAAACCTGAATCTTCAACCCTCTGATTTTCATCCCTTATTAATTATAGGGGATAGTTTCACTTTGAGGTTGATAAATGTAACTCTCGAAGGATTCTTCCCAGTGTAAATCCCTAAAATGAGTTCTCCTGGCAGGTCATAGTTGTGCTGAGCACTGAGATTTCCAGTTGAAAATGTTGTCCCGGTCTGAGAGGAAGAGATTGAGGGCAGGGGGTGGAGGTCAAGGTGATTTCCGTGTCCAGGACATGCCCGGGGTCTTCCCCTTGGGCAGCCTGAAGTGCCACCAAGTCTCCAGCCCTCGCTTCCCAAAATCAGGGATGGCAGCAGCCTGGGAGGTGCTTTTTGAGGAGCAGTGCCAGGGCTGGCTGTGTCCCCACTGAGAGAGTCCCCGTGGTGTCCCCGACCTCGGCAGCGGCCCCTCAGCCAGGGTTGGTGTTTAAACACTGTCCCTCCTCTCAGCAGTCTGTTGGAAACCTTTCCAGCTCCTTCAGAAGCTTTGGATGGGGTTCATATTAGGCAATCACGCAGCAGAAGATCAATGGCTTATGAATATCCATGGAAAAAGCCATTCTGCTTGGCTCCATTTGCCTACGGGGATGAAATACGGGCTCCTCCTCCAGAGGGGCTCTGGAGATCCGAAGGATTTGTGGAGAACCCACTGTCCTGAATATGTATTAAATTAATGTGCACACACCACTTTTATTTGTTCTGAGGGTTTTGTGCTTTTTAGCTCCAGATATTCATCAAACAACTGTGGTATCCAACTATCATAGACAGAATATGTTAATGGGGGAATATTCAAAGGGTTGAAATAGTTTGTTGTTGCAACAGCGACAAATTTGGCCTAAACTTTGCAAAAGAACCCAGTTTTGCCCTGTCACTTTGCATTAGCAGCCGTCTCTGAAACCAGAGCGACTCCACATAAAACAGCGCCGGAGGCTTTAATGTCTTTGTGTCTTTATTTAAAAAGTAAACTTTGATCATCCTCGTTTAATAATGTGCCTCCACCAGGTTTGGGGACTGCTGACCTTTCATCCACCTGGTTTGTTTTTTTTTAATTTTGCTTTGTCGTCCCTTTCATATTTACTCCAGGAATTTGACTCCCGTAGATTTGACGGGGCAGGGCCGGAGTGTCGACGTGGCATTGGATGATGGGGCTGATGGGAGGGAGTTGATAACTTTGGGAGATATCCCGGGTGTCACTTCTCTTGGCATCCCCACCAAGCCCCGGCCCCGTGCGGGCGCCGCGATCCGATGGGGGCCGATGAAAAACCACCGAGGTTCGCGCGGCGCCCCGTTAGATGGAAGCAGCGTGGAATCAGAGGTTAATCTGCCAACAGATTTCCATGCTTATTACCCTAATGATCCCATCAGATTCCACGGCCCAGCCTGCGAGGTGGGGTTGGATGCGGGCGCTCGTTAAGCACCGCGGTGATTGGGGTGACCCCACAGCTCCCGTAATTGCGCGGGGAAATTACCGCCGGGGAGAACCGGCGGCTCCGCGTCCCGCTCGCTCTCCCTCTCCCTCACTCGGGGGGAAAAGGAAAAAAAAAAAAAACTAACAAAAGAAATATTGCATTAATTT